TTGGAGTTGCTGAAATCCCAGCTTCTAATAGAACTAATGGAAAAATGTTAAATGCTGTAGAACAAGGTTTTAATGTAAAGTTACAAGGTGATCTCCCCCATGCCCAAACTGGATCAAGTAACGGGAATATGAGACCAGAAGAAGAGGCAGAAATGACACTGAGCAGAGGAGATCCGTGGGGGACCGGCCCGCCTTCACACCGCAGAAGTTCCCTGCCCCAGCTGGGTTTCTCTGATGCAGAGGCAGAACACGTGTCAGTCAGAAGTGTCGGTGCCTCCCGCACATCGGACTCGACCTTGGTGGTGCTCTGCCTGAAGGCCACAGTTACCCTGCCAAGAGTCAAGGACCCTACACAGCCTCTTCCACCACCACTTAGAAAATCAGGGCAGAAAGAGATCACTCCTGGGGCGGCACAAAGAGCACATTGGAAGCATCGTTCTAGCATTGCAAATAAATGTGTCTTTCCAAAATAGGGTAGCAAGAACTGGTGCTGTAAAAATATCATTGTTTTTTTGCCCTGGCTGGTATAGCTCAGTGGATTGAGTGAGGGCCTGCAAACCAAAGGGTTGCTGGTTTGATTCCCAATCAGGGCACCAGACTGGGTTGTGGGCCAGATCTCCAGTAGGGGGTGCATGAGAGGCAACCACACATCGACATTTCTCTCCCTCTCTTTCTCCTTCCCTTCCCCTCTCTCTAAAAATAAATAAATTAAAACATTTAAAATATATAATTGTTTTTTACTTAAAAAATTTGAGTAACTTTATGAAAATGATTCTATGCTGAAATAGTCTTCTGGGACTTACTTTTTCATTCATAATTATACTAAGATCACACTTATCGCTGCACGTAGCTGTGATTCATTTGTTTTGACTGCACTATAATGTTCCATTGTGTCATTGTGTGACTATATCACAGTTTATTTATTCGCAATTCTGTCAGTGAGCATTTGGGCCGTGTCCAGGTCTGTGCTATTATGTACAGCATTACTACAAACACCATTATTCATGTCTCTTGGCTTCACTTGGTTTTGTTCCAAGAAATGGAATTGCTGAGATGTAGACTGTGTGAATAGCCAGCCTCCCAAACGGTGCTGCCTGCTTTCCTGGGTGGCTGGCTGTATCAGACAGATCTGCTATTTCATCTGTCCACTGAGCTTTTCATTTCCAGTGAAATTCATATTTTTTCACTTGTAAAAGTATTATGTAGTTCTTCATTGAATTTGCTTTTACATTTCCACACTAGCTTCCACTCTCTTTGTAACTTTTATGTCCTCATTTATCTGTGTAATCAGTTTAAACATTCATATGTTACAATCTCATTCAAATTGTGTAATTTGCTCCAGTTACTGACGTGCTATGTCTGTTCCTTGCATCTGCTTAACATCCCTGTACACTCCCTCACCCCACGGGGGTTTGTTTCCTCACGTGCTTTATAAACTGTGGTTGTGAGCTGACATTCCCTGCAGTGTTTTCCCCCAGAGGAAATCCCATCTACTACGGCTTAAGTGCCTCTGCAAAGTGACTTTTCAGTCACTTCGACGGGAGCCGCAGGAATGTCTGTGGTTTAGGACTTGTGTTTCTGGCATGTTGGTGTCTTGGTTCAGGGTTCCTGTGTGCATGGACAGCACACGTCTGGACCCCAGGCACACTGAGGTGACACTGGCCTGGGATTTTGTATTCTCATCAACAACTTTATTCTTTTAACTCCATCAAAGCCCCAAAGGGATGTCAAGATGCCTTGTTGCTTCCATAGGTTGACAGATGAAGTTTTCCTAGTTTCCTTTCCAGGGCCTGGGCAATCTTTCAAATCACTGGGCTTAGCCAGTGGTACTCGGTCCCAGTCCCACACTGATGCCTGTGCTCAAGACCACGCCCCCTGCCAATACAACCATGGACATGCCTGTGCCCCTGGGGCCCACATGCAAGCCTAAGAAAACTCTTGGGCCACTGCGATATAAGCTCCCACTTTCCACTCTTTCTGGGTTGGAGTTCTTTCTTTTCTTCTTTTGTTTAATTAGCATAGATAAAGCAAGAGGGGAAGCTCAAGTAAGTGTAGGCAGGCTTGTTGCTAGAAATTCTGATACATTTAAAAAATATTTTACTTATTTATTTTTAGAGAGAGGGGAAGGGAAAAAGAAAGAGAAGGAGAGAAACATCAATGTGAGAGAGAAACATCAATCAGTAGTCTTGTGCCCTGACTTGGGGGAACCAAACCTGCAACCCAAGCATGTGACTTGACTGGGAATTGAACCAGTGACCCTTTGCTTTGCAAGATGACACCCAAGCAACTGGAGTGCACCACAGCTCTACTGATATATTTAAAAATTTTTTTCTATTTATTTATTTTTAGAGAGAGGGGAAGGGTGGGAGAAAGAGAGGGAGAGAAACATCAATATGTGGTTGCCTCTTGCACACTTCCCACTGCAGACATGGCCTGCAACCCAAGCATGTGCCCTGACTGGCAATTGAACCAGCGACCCTTTGGTTCACAGCCGGCACTCAATCCACTGAGCAACACCAGCCAGGGCTGTACTGATACATTTTTATTAGAGCATTTATGTCTTTCCTTCTTGGGTTTATGTTGATTGATTCACTCAGGTCTCCCATACTCCTAGCAAACTCCTGAGGGCAGGCACGTTGTACTCATCTTCGTCTCCTGCACATATGTGACTTTTGCACCAACACTACAATAAGACACATTTGAATGTAAGTGTGGAAAGCACACACAACACATGAACAAATTAATGAATGGACGTCATCTGTCATTGTTATCTTAATACTCTAAAGTCACTGTCCAGTGAAACCCACTTCTACACTTTATTTAAAGAGCTCTCAGGGTATAGAAAGGCAGAGACTTGTTCAAAATCAGTCAAGGAGGGGCAGAGAATTTGGGGCTCCTGAGGCCCAGTAGCTGACAACCTGTGGTCCCCATTCTCCAGGGAGTGTGACAGGACAGGACAGCATGCTGTGCATGTGACGGGATTTGTACACTGGTTTGTTTCAGAATGAGTGAGCAGCAGCTAATGACATTTGGGGAGTAAGAGCACCTTCCAGAACATGGAGGAACGAAGGTGGCTTTTGTGCAAACTCTCCCGCTCTTGGGGCTGCTAGAGCTTCCCTGGCTCCACCTAGAATATTCCTGCTCTTCCAGTCATAAGTAGGGACATACACCAATACAGAGCTTATGTTCTGAGTGAGCATGTGTGTGCACATGTTTGGAGAAAGTATGTGCCACTGCCTGTGTTCTTGGGGAAGGAAAACCACTCCTACCCGCCTGACTGTGGCCCAGCACTTGCCTTCATATTGACGCTGCTTATGTGTCTGCCTCTCCTACTAAATGGCGAGCTTCTTGAAGGTGGTACCACATCTTTATCATCTTTGCACCATCAGCGCCAACAGAGTAAATGTTTGAGGAATCTGATGATCAGAAACAAAGCATGGGACAAGGTGTCCTAAACAGTCCTGCTGCTTTTCTGGGCCAGGGTCTGCGTTGCTCGTGTTAGCCCAAGTCTTGGAAGATGGACGGCCCTGTCACTCCTTTTTCCGGCAGAAGGGCAGATGCCAAACCGGCCCCCTCCCTCCTTCCTTACTCAGTTCTCTGTCAGCTCTGTACGGGAATGTGAAGTAGGCCTATTTGCACTTTTGAGAGCTAGAACCAGTTTGAGGCTTCCTCATGAGTGTGTGGCAACGGTGTCCCCAGATAGCTTGGGGTGATGGGAAAGACACCTCCCTGTTTGTCTCTCAGTCTTGGGAGTGGGCCCCAGCAGGGCTTTGCCCCAACCCTGGCCTCCCTCTGCCCAGGGCTATGAGGTGCTCAGAGCCGCAGCATTCTGAGTGTGTGAAAAGAGCAAGGGGAGTATGAGTCAGAGAAATAATTCCTAGGGCCAACCTCACCCTAGAATGGTTTCATTAAAATGGGAAGCTGGGGGGGTGGTGGGGGGACGAGCCCTTTGCCAAAGTCTCCACACTGTTTCAACTTGCCCTTGACTTGAGGACTCAGCAAACACTCACAGGGCTGGCAAACCAAGAAAGGCTTGATTTACGAAGCACTGTTCCGACCCAGGAAGACATCCAATGTCATAAATCGGGGTTCCGAAGTGCTCATAAACAGTGTGAGCAGATCTGCTCCTCCATCTGCCAAGCACCCTGGGGTAAGTTTCCAGTGTGCAACACGTCCCTCCAAGAGGCAGGACAGAGAACCTTCCTCTGTGCGGAGGCCATTAGGTTGGTCAGGTGGAGAGCCATCGGTCACTATGTTCCTCAAGTCAGCAAGCTTGACTTGAACGGGGCAGTTCCACAGAAGCTCCTATCCTTGGTCACCCAGCCTCAGGGGCCTTCCTTCCGTACCAGGGGTTATGTTGTTTAGAGGGACAACTCCGATTTTCAGGGCCAGACCCTGATGACACACACGTCAGAGTTTCTACAAACCCTCGACCGGTGGTCTGCCCACTGAGTACAAGCCCACTTCCCTGGAATGCTGGAGTGTGCCCCCACACGTCCCTTACAATGGTGATTCCAAACTTTCTATGGAAGTGGAAGCCAGGGAGTTTGTCTTAAAGCTGGGTTTTCATGACCCATCTACTCATCTAATTGGAAATGATCATCAGAGAGGAAACAAACATAAAAGTACCATTAATCGAAAAAAATACCTGTTTATGTGAATGAGATATACCTTTGGGTTGTAGGAGAATAAAATTGGGGATTTATTATTATTTTTTTTAATTTCTATTTTATTGATTATGCCATTACAGTTGTTCTATTTCCCCTCTTCATTCCCCTCCACCCTGCACACTCCCTCCTCCGCCATTCCCCCCTTTAGTTTATGACCATGTGTCTCAAGTTCTTTAGATTCTATATTTCCCATACTATTCTTGCCCTCCCCTCTATTTTCTACCTACCGTCTATGCTACTTATTTTCTGTACCTTCTCCCCCCTTCTCCTCCTCCCACTCCCCTGTTGCTAACCCTCCATGTGATCTTCATTTCTATGGTTCCACTCCTGATCTAGCTGTCCTCTTAGTTTGCTTTTGTTTTAGGTGTGGTTGTTAATAACTGTGAGTTTGCTGTCCTTTCACTGTTCATATTTTTTATCTTCTTTTTCTTAGATAAGTCCCTTTAGGATTTCATATAATAAGGGTTTGGTGATGATGAACTCCTTGAATTTGATCTTATCTGAGAAGCACTTTATCTGTCCTTCCATTCTAAATGAAAGCTTTGCTGGATAGAGCAATCTTGGTTGTAGGTCTTTGGATTTCATGACTTGGAATACCCTTTCCAGCCCCTTCTTGCTGGAAGGTTATTTTTTTCTTACAGTCATTTATTCCTGTTGTATTTTATAGCATTTGCTTTGCTTAGTTTCTTGCTTCTATATTATTTTGTGATCTCATAGGCTTGGAAATTTTAAATACATATTTACTTATCTAGCTGAGATTTACCGATTTGCTGACTTAATCTGTTGGGGCTTTGGGTATGAGGCTGAGCAGACGAGGGTGGAGTAGGTGGTATTGGCCTGCCGGTGTTCCTAGGTCTTCGGGAGCCTGGGAGGTGTGCCATTTTAGATGTGACTGGACTATATCTGCAACTGAAGCACAGAGGGGCAGGGAGACTGTCAACAGCATAAGAGAGTAAGTTACTGCTCTCTCTCCAGATATCAATTTCCTAGAAAATAAAGAGGTTGGGCCCTGGCTGGTGTGGTTCAGTGGATTGAGTGCCGGCCTGTGAAGCAAGGGGTCACTGGTTCAATTCCCAGTCAGGGCACATACCTGGGTTGCAGGCCAGGTTCCAGTAGGGGGTGCGTGAGAGGCAGCCACACATAGATGTTTCTCTTCCTCTCTTTTTTCCCTTCTAAAAGTAAATAAATAAAATCTTTAAAGAAATGAAGAGGTTGGCCTAGATGACTGAGGTCCCTTTCTGTCGGCTCTCTCCAGCTATCCGCCCAACCACCCTCAGCAGACTGGGCAATGGGGCCTATTACTCAGATTATTTTCATTGCTCCCATCACTTACTGTAATTCCAGAGTAAGTTCTTCTGTGTCTCTCTGACTTCATGTTCTCTAGATGCAAAGCAGGGACACCTACATTGTCCTCTTTCTTCCCACAGGTATTGGTGAGAGATCTGAGTCTCTGACAGGAAAGGTAATCTGGCCTGTTGCTTCCTGAAGACTCTGGAGAGCACAGCCAGGTCTAGGGAGGGAGACCCACACAAGCCAGCCATACCTTTGAACAATGATATGAGCTGGGATGAATCTTTATTAAGCCCAAGGCCATTTTTTTCTTTAACAGTTAATCCAAAGAGAATCTGTTTAAGTGCATAAATTCAGAGCCAAGCCAAATGAAAATTTTTAAAAAAGGCGGCACCTTCCCTGTAGGAGTTCATCATCTAAATGAAACAGCACAGACTCAAATGGGGACAGAAATCCTGCACAGTCTTCAAGAACTTTGAAGTATGTCAGGACAGGGGCTTTTGGTGGACTCTGGATGGGGTGAGGGCTTTGGGTTTAGACATGGGGCAGTGCTCTCCACAGAAAAAGCCACCCAGTCCCGGGAGGAACTCCAGGAGGTCACCGGGGTTGACTGGGAGGCAACTTCGGAGGGGAAGAGGTGGAGCCGGGAGGTAGCTGCAGGCAGAGTGGGTGAGCTCACCTAATGAGGTCCAGCGTTTTCCAGAGCCTTCAAGTACGTGGTGGCTTGAACTGGGAAGCTGCTAAAGTGACTCTCCCTTGTTATTCAGATGTCTCAGGAAACTTCCTCCGTGAGACCTCCTCAGAATGTGTCCAGTCTGTTCCAGTACCTTCACCTTTTGCATAGTGTGTAAGAATTCAAATGGCTGTGCTAAATTTACTCTCTCTAGATAAATGTGCATTGGCCTCTGGCACATATTTACATTTTAGTGGCTGAGCAAATTACACCTGCTGTGTTGTTTCAGTGAGCTGACAATGCACCTCACAGAGACACAGAGTGTTAGAGGAGGAAGAGGAGTTAGCTGCCCCAGCCCACTCACTTCACAAACAAGAACCCTGAAGTTACCAGACACTCTGCAAAACTTGCCTAGTTAGGGACTTCAGGAGCACCACTGTCATGTCTGTCAGTGTGGTGCTGTCACTCCACAGCCTGGGTCCGCCCGCCTGATGTTCTCAAACCTCACCCCCCTCCCCTGCCCCCGGGGACCTTGGCCTGGCTCCCCAACCCTTGCACCTGGTACTCACCCCAGCACTTACACACCCTCCTATTTGGCTCCGGCTCAAGGGCAGCAGAGTAGACGGGAAAACTGGACCTCGGCAGAGGAAGTGGAGGGGAGGAGCTAGAAGGAGGAAGAAAAGAAAGGCTGCAGACAAGGGAAGAGAGTCTAGTGAACATAACATGAACGAGGTTGGTCACGTTTGATCAGAGTAATGGTTACTCTGATTCCAAACACCATTCACAAAGAGGAACTGCAGAGATGTTTAGACCCAGGCAGCCACTTCTGAGGAATATGATGAACTGGGATCTCTATGTCCTCTATGCTTATGGAGAAAAGAAGGAGTCCTTATCTCACAAGTATTCTAACTATTCCCTCTTTTAGAGTCTTTTTTTTTGGTAATGCAAAGTACATTTCTCCATTACAGGATTCAATTCAACTATTGCTGCAAAAGGGGCATTCCGAACTCAGGACCAGCCTAATGATGCCTGTTAGTGAGTCTGGCTGCAGTTTCAGGCCAGGAACAGAGCATTCTTGACCCTTCAAAACAATGTAATAGGCGATAAAATGGAAATTTCAGTGCAGAGGTTAGGTTGTGCATTTAAAAAAAATTTTTTTAAAGTATGCTAGCATAAGATAGGGAGAAGGTAGTAGCTAGGGTTCAAGGAGCACTGGTTGAGAAAGCAACACACAGAACCCAAATGCTAAGTGACCAATTGTTTGTTGCTTTGTGTCTTTGCTGGCTAGAAGCAGATTTGCACTGACAACTTGGTAACAGAAGCATACATCCCTGGCATTATTTCTCAAAAATCATCTCAAATTTCTAAGTTTCCTCAAAGTTCTATTTAAAGATTCTTATCAGAATATACCCAAAGATTTTCTAGTAAAATGCAATTTCACTTTTCATTCATAGCAAAAATCATTAAAAGATATTAACAGTTTAATTGGTTATTAAATTGACAATGATTGGCTTCTATACTGCCCTGCTTAGTAGGTATACATTGTGTAAAGCTTTGTTCTGACCATGTACAGAAACGTAATTTGAATTTAAGTAGTTGTGGCATTTGTGGTCATTTTCTATAAAAAGCTGGTCATTCGGCTGTTGGTCATGCACGTGGCATAGTTTCTACTGGAAAGTCTGACTCAGCTTACATCATTTTGACTTACAGCACCTTGGCCAGGCATGAAATCTAAGGGTGGAAGACTGCCTTGTTTTTTTCCAGGTCTGCAGAGGCCTGTTGGTTTTAGCAGGTTATGTGTAGGACACACGGATGTGACTCACCTACCCACTTAACAATCATAAAGAAGCACACAAACAGCTTGGCTTCAGTCATAACACTCATTGTACGGACCACGTTGAATGTGCATCACCATCTTGTTTTTGTGACTTTCAAAGGAAGATGAGCATGGTGTCCAGTGAACAAAGCAAAATATCTGTTGAGTTCCATATCATCCGAATCATTAGCATGACTGTTTTTGGCGGTCATAGGGCAAGTGCGCTGCACTATGGGTTGTCAACTGAAATCACTGACTTCCCCTTCTGATGTCCTCCCGCTCCACAGAAGCGACACCAGGAGCCGCATTCCCCAGAATCTCATCTCTTTATGGTTCTGGGAGAGGTCATGCAATGAGAAGCACTTAAGTGGGGAAGGGGGAAGACATAAGCAGGTGCACAGAGAAGTGCGAGTTTCAAACGATTTTCAGGTGGCCTCTTTGAGAACTGTTCACAGGCTGGAATAGTTAGTGGGATCATCTTAGAGATTCAGGTGTCTTGTTGTCCCAGGTAAGCTCTTCAGAATCATGTGCTTAATGCCGTATGGTGGCTTTCTGGGTCTGCTACTCCCCGGTGGTTGCATAAACCCTACTTTTCCCATTTTTTAGATAATCCCCACCTGAGGATATGTTTATCGATTTTAGAGAGGAAGGGAGGGAGAGAGAGTGAGAGATCGAGAGAGAAAAAGAAACATCAGTGTGAGAGAAACATTGATCAGTTGCCTCCTCTATGCGTCTCAACTGAGGATTGAACCCACAACCAAGGTATGTGCCCTGACTGGGGATTGAACCTGAAACCTTTTGGTGCACAGGACAATGCTTTAATCAACTGAACCACCTGGCCAGGGCTTATTTTTCCCATTTTAAAACTCTCAGTAGTTGGAATATACAGAGTGGCTTCTATTTTCCTGATAAAACCCTGAGCAGTAAAATAAGTAATTACAAAATTTTAATAGAAAATTAAAACAAAAGTAAAATAGAATGAGTAAGCAAAGTGTATTGTGTTATACAAACACCTACGATAGGAACCTCATCCAGAGTTGGGAGATGGAGGACAAGACTTCCTGTGAAAGTAACCCCTAAGCTGAGAGTTGAAGGATAAAAGGGGTCAGGTAGTCAGAGCGCGTGGAATGGAGGAGATGAAGGTTGTCTTCAATCTGCGCAAAGACCCAGAGGCAGAGGGAGCCTAGAGAGTGTTCTGGGAGGTGCCCCACTGGAAGGGGTTGTGGGTGGGGAGATACTGCAGGATTGAAATGGCAGTGACATGAACAAGTTTATGATTTTCAGTGATCATCCTGGTTGTAGAATGAGGAATGGATTTCAAGAGAGCAAGACTGAAGATGAGGAGACCAACTAGTAGGCTGTGGTCACGGTCCAGACACAAGATGTTCGTTGCCTGGACTGGGGTACGGGCAGCGGGTCGGGGAGAAGGGAGCAGGTACAAGCAATGTTCGGTAAAGGCGGCGGGGTCAGGGAATGGGAGCAGCCGAGGGTGACTCACTTTGCGGAGACGGAAACTGAAGCTCAGAGGGATTTCACAGCTCATCTGAGGTCACATGGCTCAGAGGCAGCAGAGTCAGGATTCTGACCTCAATGAGTCTAACTCCTGAGCCTCTGCTTTCTACTCTGAGGCTCTAGCAAACACATCAGAACACAGTCCCAGACGCTCAGTTTTTACAAATAATTAGAATGAGGTGCTTGCAGTGCCCAAGATTGCTGTTTGCTAGTAACAGAACACAGTGGTTCAGCTGGGCTCTTTTCTCTTCTAGAATATGTTACTTCCTCAAGCATTTAACTTATTTTCCTTGGCTTTCCCTCTATATTCATGTAGATGTTGTTGTAATTAAAGGAAAAGGAGTAGGTAAGGAATAATTCTCCTCCTCACTAAAATTCCAGCTTCACTTTACAGCAAAACCCAAAGGCGTTTCTGCTTTGTTTTTTGCAGTATAGAAATTTGTAATTCTGGAAGGTTTAGAGGCCAAAAGCCATAGCCAGCTGTCATGTTTTGCTTGTCAAAATGACTAAGATGGTGTGTAAGGTTGGGAAAGCCATAAAATGATTACCCCACATTGCTCCTAAACACCCACTTCTGTTATATTTTAGATGTAGCAAACAAGTCCAAAATAGTTGGAAACAGATACTAACTTGCCCATGATTCTGATTCCCATCTGCCCGTTGCTGCATCTTCCTGTGCAGAACACACCTCTTTGCTGAGCCCCAGATACGGGAGGACACCCCCAGCCAGTGACTCAGGCTCCTTAAACTTGGTGTTCCAACAGTCTCACCACCCCACACTGCTTTCCTTCCTGAAATCATCACCTAGTCCACAAACCCAAACACTTAGGAGTTCCTCTGCAGACTCCTTTCTTCCCTGTTCCTCACATCTAACCAGCCACTAAAGCTGATGGTGCTAACCTTCTTCAGTCCTTCCTTTCTTTCTACCTCCGCCATGGCTGTCTGAGTACAGAAGAGTATGATGCAAAAATAAGGAATGAAAATTCCCAGTAATTCTTAAAAATCATAAGTTATTCAGTGTTTTTTTCCACAACTTTATTTATATATTTTTAAATGATAAAGATGGGCCACAATAGTAAACGATGAAAAGTTTTTCTGTGATAGGTTATACTAAACATCTGAAGGAAGATAAAAGAAGAAAAAAGATATAAGAGCAAAGACTTGGCTGTTACTTCGATGAGCCAAAATACTGTGACAAATTACCTCTTTCAATAACATGTAAAAGTAGCCTCTGTCTAAAATAGACCTTTGATAATAATTAGAAAATATCAGAAGCAGGGAACATTAACACAAACTGTTTGATATTAATCATAACAAATGCTTAGTAAAAATCATTAAAAATTGAGAGATAATATTGCAAATGTTCAATATTAAAAAATTACCCTTAAAGTATAATTAATTATATATCTCACAGGCATAAATTACACTGTTCCATAGTCTTGATCTTTGTTTCGGGACAAGCATTCCAGGTTTAAGAGGGCACCCCCTGCGTTAAGATAAAAGAGCTGACTTGCTCAGGAAAGCCCTGGAATGATGGAATAAACATTGTGGCTCTTTGCCACGGGTCAGAGGTCATGGTGGCAGATGTCTCAGTGGGAATGACAGATCTTGGCATGGGAGAGGCCTGGCAGTGGTACTTAGCCACAAGACTTGCTGGACAAAATGACAATGATAGGCTACTGGGAGAGAGGGGCAATCTACAATTTCACTCACATGGAATTTACAAAGAAATAGGGTGGGGCATCACCCTGCTAAGGTGCTCACTGAAATGTTGAAGTGGAAGTATTCTGGGTCTGGTGGGTCACGCTGTGACTGAAGGCACTGCGGTGGGACCCATAGCTCTGTGTCTATTTCTCAGACATAATTCAGTTCAGAAAGACTTGGCATCTCTTGATTAAGGAGAAGGTTGAGTTCTTAAACAAAAGGGCCCTTCAAATCTTTTCCTGAGAAATGAGTACCCGTTTGTCAGGTTGACTATGCACTGGTGAAAAAGATATGCAGAACTTCTGGGTGTTCTTCAATATTGACTTTAAGCTGATTTTAACACCCAGAGTTCCAAAATGACTCCAGGACTCACTGGGAAGGCAGGAGACTCATGAGTGCCAGGTGACAGAGTCCTGCCTCAAGCTCATCTCATGGAGGGTCCATGAAATAAAAAACCTGACACATTTGTCTCCCTAATTCCTGAATGTAGAGTGAAACGTAGACATGCTCAGTAACTGACAGGCTCCACATTGGTTCCCTAGTCTGTGGAGTGGTTCCCATAGACACTCAGGGAGCAC